ATAGTAGGATTACCTTACGAAAAGGGATTTGATGAATAAAAAATTTCTACCAAGGCTAGACCAGTACAAATGAATACAACCTTATTGGAATTTTGTAAAAAAGAAATTGATGAATTACAAAGCAAAAATCTAATAAGAATAAGTGCATCTCCTTGGAGCTGTGCTGCTTTTTATGTCAATAAAATGCGGAAATTGTTCAGATAATCCATCTATATTCCAATTTACTATCGATCTTCCTGAATAGGAAATATTCTGGGCTACCAAATCTTCTTCGAATTGTATATCAACAGGGGTAGGTCTATGATGATAAGGCCTAGCTGTTATCTGTTTCGACCTCAGCGGCTCTTCTGGCCTTAATGGTCTTTAGACTGAGTGTTTGAGCGTCTCTAACCTTAAATTAATGAATGAAGTATTGAACCCATATTATAAATTTATTTAAAGGTTTATAATTTATTACTAATCTTGGTACGCCTCTTTCTTTTTCCGCATTTTTATTGACATGGAGGAATTTACTTAGGTTTCTTTCTCCTAAAGTATTACTCTTAGTAGTAATAATGAATGAAGTATTTAACCCATATTATAAATTTATGATAGTATATATTGATGATGTTTTAGTCTTCTCAGATACTATAGAACAACATTTTAAACATATTCATACATTTGTACAAGCAATTAAACATGCAGGTTTAGCAGTATCTGCTAAAAAGATAAATCTTTTCCAAACAAAAATAAGATTTTTAGGCCACCATATTCATTATGGTACAATTATACCAATAGAAAGATCCATTCAATTTGCTGATAAATTTCTGATATTATTTTAGACAAAACTGAATTACAAAGATTTTTAGGATGTTTAAATTATATAGTAGACTTTTATGAAAATTGGGCTATAGATGCTAAACCATTATACGAACGGCTTAAAAAGAATCCTCCTAAATGGACAGACGAACATACTCAAGCTATAAAGAAAATAAAAATTAAAGCTAAAGAATTACCTTGTTTAAATCTAGCTAATCCGAATGCTTTCAAAATAATAGAATGTGATGCTTCTGAATTAGGATTAGGAGGTATTTTAAAACAACGAATAAACTCTAATGAACAACTAGTCCGCTATACTTCGAAAGCTTGGAATCCTACTCAACAAAATTATTCTACCGTGAAAAAAGAAATACTTTCCATAGTTCATTGTGTTACTAAATTTCAAAGTGATATACTTAATACACATTTTCTTATTAGAACAGATTGCAAAGCTGCCACTGATATTCTTACTAAGGATGTGCAAAACCTTGTCTCTAAGCAAATCTTTGCTCGATGGCAGGCAATATTATCATCTTTTGATTTTTCTATCGAACACTTACTACTAACCATCTTCCTGATTTTCTTACTCGTGAATTTTTGCAGGGAGGGCAACACTGATCATTTTGATCCACCAGCTTTATCTTTTCCACTAACTTTGTTTTATGCAAATATGAATAAAAATAATAATACTTCTACTCCTGAGCAAAGGGGAAAAGCCCCTATGGAAACCTCACTGGATATCATTCCAGTAAATATTAC